TGTGTGCGGGATTGCTCCCAGATACACACCGCAGCTTCCAAGTGATTACAGCGCCCTTTTATCCGTATTGAATACCCAAAATACAAATCCATATTAATCATTTTGGTACATCCCATTCCTCACTTCCTATGCTAATAATTTCAAAAGCCATTCAGCATGCTTGGTTTGTTCCTTGAAATGGGTCGGTGTCCCTTCCATGGGGAGGGGTCCCAAAACGAGGAAGTAAATGAAGTCTTCATCTTCCTCGTTCTGACCTTTCTACCTTTTCAATGCAAATATGACAAATTAACTCTTGGTGGAACTCCCATTCCTTGTCTTCAATTGGTTTCAGAACAGAGTGGGCCGCAATTGTCTTATGTTCCTAAAAGCTATTTGTCAATTTATATTCTTCATTATAAACCAGCTAACTAAACATTGTGCTGACAAGCAATCAATTATTAACTACTAACTCTTTAACTTCTACTAATCTATTTAATTAACTCTAGTAAGGCTTATCTCTAACTAAAATCTTAGCTCCTCTAAAATCTCTAAATTCCTTAAAATTTACATTTCAAATCCGTGAGGGGTGTGAGGGTACTGTGAATCTGTGATGTGAAAAACACCAATCACTTGGTTTTTAAAATTTTGAAAGTTTAATAATAATAAAATGGTTATAAAAATAGTAATATAATTAGAGTAATAAAATTTAGAGTTAGGACAATTACAAGGCAATAAAAAGCAAAGAATTACAGACGTCCAGATGCTCTTGGACGCTAAGTCATGAAAAGCATCCCTTGTGAAGAAAGGAATAACCTTAAAAGCAACAGCCTGATGCATATTCATATATCTCATACATGAGATACATAAATTCTTCGTAAATTAAAACTTTTTGGTTTTGTCAACTTCTTCTCCTTAATCCTGTTGGTTCCACAAAGATGGAGAGAAGGTGGAAGAATTTTTGTCTTTTCTGATAAGGAGGCTGTAACTTTTTATGGGCCCCCTTCGCTGACATCTCTGTGTGATGAGTTTATTGATTATCTGATCTTCCTGCTTGAGATTGTAACAAATCCTATATCACAGAGTTTCTATTTTAACATTATGTTGTAAGCTAAAACTACATTTAGCACACTACTTAAGAGAATTAATACAGCATAACTTTCTAACATTACACATATAATATTCATTTGCAGAAAGCCAATCATAAAATATGCATTTTTCACACGTGAGGGATGTGAGGGTACAGCTCCCAGCAATAAGTTCAGGTGTTCTGCTCAATGTCAGAGGGGTTTATTTTATTAAAACTCCTGCTGGACAAGCTGTTGGGGTGAAAGGTGGTGTGGCTCAGCCTGGCTCGCTCTTTTCGCCTCCTGTCTCCTCCCTCTGCCCTGCAAGAGGCAAAATGAGATTTTTTCATTATTCCCATGAGCTTTGTGTAGGAGCTGGAAATGCTGGAGAAGGATAAAACCTGCGGGGTTTGTGCCAGCCACTGCAAGCACAATAAGAGAGTCAGAATTTTGGCTGGTGGCTCTTTCAGGCCTTCTTACTGTGTGTTTCAGGTACAAAGCAATAGGATTTGACCTGTTTTGACACTTAAAATCTCACGAGTTCTGTGGAGCTGGTTAAATTTCTAGTTTTCATTTAATTTTAATTTCTCTAATGGGTGGGGGCATTAATGGGATGTGTCTCCCAAAATCACTGAGCTTCTGCAGCCCTGTAGTCCAGGGATGCTTTATTATCATGAAATCTTCTCTACTGTGAACATGAAAATCAAAATTTGATAAAAAATATGAAACATCTGCTGAAGTACAGTGAAGTGCAGTCTTAATGTGAGTAGCAGCCGGCAGAGAAATGATCTGTTCTGGCTGTTGTACACTAAGAAAAATGCTTTTACCATTTATAAAAAAATCTGTGATGCTTCTTACACATCCACTGAGTTTTTATTAATCTTCTTTTGCCTCCTGCCTGATTTGGAAGGGAAGCTTTGCAATTCTCTAAGTTCTTACTGTGGATTTTTCTTACCAGAATTATTCTGTATTTCTTACCAGAATTATCTGTTATTAGAGAAAAGAACTCTCAGAAAACAGTGTGGTTTAAATATACAACACATGTGAAACAGCAGACTTAAAATATGGATGTCAGTGATTTTTGTAAAGATGTGATGCCCTTTACCAAGGTATTTTTTGATATATTCAGCCCTACTCAAGAGTATTTTGGTTTAGGCTAAAATTTGGGCAAATACGAGCTCTTTAAAGACTCTAAAAAGTGTTTATATTTTTGCTGTTACCATGAAAATTTTCACCTTTCTGCTTAAGTCTTAATCACATAAAAATTAAGCAAAGTGTTGAGCTGACTGCTTAAAAATAGACATTAGAATCCATTACTCAGATTTCTTTGTTTCCTGACTGTAAAATTGGGAGCTGCGAGTCAGGACAGAAGGAAATTTCATTTCTATTGCAAATGCTGATCAATTTATAATTTTGGCATTTCGGAGCCGTTGAAGTGAAAAAAGAAAAAATGAATTTCTGAGTGGCAAAGCAGATTGGAATGAAAAAGGAAAAGCAGTTGTCTTAAATAATTTCATTCTTAATCTTTGATTCCACAGCCTCATTTGCGTGGCCATGTATTTATTTCATCCTCTCTCAGCCGAGGAATTCCATACGTAATTCTCCCTATAGAATGTCTTTGATCCGCGGGGATTTCTGTAGGGCCCGGCTGAATGCAAACATTCTGAAGACTTGCATTTACCTCCCAACAAAAGCTATATATGGTTTGTAAAACATGAATGAAAACCTAATGCGTGCCTGAGCTCACTTGCTGAAGTTTCACTCGGGTCAGCGAAATGGAAGTTGAAGTTCATCTCAGCGTATTTCAGGAGGTCCTTTTCATTTAAAAACAATGCTAGAACCTGTGGAAGTTTGTGGATGCATTTACCATTTGAAAGTGATGAACGTGACAGTTCTATTCAGGCCATTCTCGGTGCTTAACAACACATTGTACCTTTTTTGTTGGTTTTATTTTGCTTTTTCCTAAGCTGCCTGCACAGACCTGAGAAAGGCCTTTTTTTCCTTTTGTATGGAAACTTTCTGTTGTTGTGGCTACTGACTGCTCAGCAGAATGTGTTGTTCAAAGAATAGAGGATGTTCTGGGGTAGTTTTTCTCCCTCTTTTTACTTTAAATATAGAAATTTACAATATCCAGGAGGAATAAAGGCACGATGTGCTTGCCTTTGCCAGCCTTGGATAAGGATTCTTGCTTAATGGGGACTGAGGAAGTGGAAAATGGGAAATTCAGCCTTGCCCTTCTAATATGGGAACAGGCACATAAAGATGGGAAGAATAAATAAAGAGGAAATGCAATAATAAACTGGTGTTTTTTTCACTCAGTACAACACAAAAAATTAAAGCTCTCTTTGTGTCTATGCACACACACGTGTCCTTGGTACTAAAATACTCAGGGTGCTCTTGACTGATAATGAAAATAGTGCTTGTAATCTGAATTCTTTTTCCCCATCATTCTTTATTTGAATAAAATCCAAGGCATTTTTTCTAAGGAAGAAGCAAAGCAATGTGGTTTGAGTGTGTGAAATTGGGTGAGTGAGTAAAATAGGGTGACTGAGTGAAAGGAGTGTGTTGTACAAGTGTGTTATGATTTTTGGGGCAAACTGTGCAAAATATACTCAATATTTATGACCTAATTTTACTGACAGCATGGTAAATACTGTCCAGTGATGGCAACTGTAGAATCACCAAAATAAGATGTCTTGGAGCTTTTTTTTTTTTTTTTAAGTTCTTTTAGTGTCTGTGGGCAAAGAAAAGCTTCAAACAATTTCATTTGGAACATAATTATTTTTTTTTATTTTTCCTTTTAGAAAAGATGCAAATGCTGCATTGTTGAGTAACTTTGAGGTAAGTTTGCCTTCATTCTGCTTTTAAAGCAGTAATTTCAAGCTGTCATCAGTCCTTTGGAAGCTGAAATCTGGCAGTAGCAATCAGCAAAACCTGCAGGGAATTGACTCTTCCTTGGAATATGGTTTGTTTTCAAGAAAAAGAAATCTTATTTTTAAAGAAGATTTGGGAATGGTTTTGCTAGTAATGGGTACTGTAGTGTTTGTTTGATCTTGAGATTTTTCTGAAGTGGGTATTTTTCTCATATTAGGGGGATAGAAAGAAATGTCATGTCCTTGTTGGTTTAATTTAAGCCAGCTAATGGAAATATTTTGCTTTGCTGATTAATTTAATTTTTGGAACAGTTTTAATAACCCAAATGGTGTCATCTGTGTTGCTGTATTGCTGAAGCTGCTTTCTATTGCAGCTATTTCATTCTGTTCTGAAATGAGTGTTGAAGTGTTTTATCCTGAGCTGCATCTGTCTGCAAACAGCAGAGCAGGCACCTGATGAGTGTTAATGAGGCATCTGGAAAGAACTCTCCTAAATTTCCTCTGAGAAACAGATGATACCCTATCACCCAAACCCGTGTTCAGTGCCTGGCTGTTGAAATCATGTGGAAAACAAGGCAAATATGATTTTTAAAAGTACTGATTCCCTCCAACTACTGATCCCTTTCCATTTGCTCCTCTCCCCGTAGATCCAGGTGATGCTTTGCACACAAAGTTCCATCCCTGCACATTCCTGTGAGCTTTTGTTGTCCTTTTGTGTTTGCTATCCAAGTTCACAGCCTGAGTTTGATTTCAGCATTGCAGGTGCTCCTTTTCCATAGAGGTGTGAAGAAATTGAGGGTTTGTAGCTGATGATATTCTATTTCTCACTGTCTGGAAATGTTTGGTTTCTTATTTCTCTGGACTTGTCAGTTTATAAATTCTCCATGCTGGATCTTGAGTGAAGCCAGGTAAAAATGAGGGGATGAACAGTGAGAAGTGCTCTGTTGCTTTGCTCTGGGTATGGACTCTGGATGTACTGCAAAGCCTGAAGCAAAACATCTGAAAAAGTTCCATTAATTTGTTAAAAATAGTCATAGCTTTTAAAAAACAATTTACATCCTTATTCATCACTCTGGGGCCAAAACATTTCTCATTCCAGTTGTTGGTCCATCCACCAGAACAACCACACATTTTTTGTTGTTTGGCTGATAGTAATTTCCTGTTAATTTATGATTTCCTGCTGTAATATTTTTAGGTAAAATGCTCTCAGATGCTCTAAATGACTTTATTTTTTATCTTTAGGTGTACCAGTTACTTACTGATCTTAAGCAGCAGCGTAAAGAGAGTGGCAAAACCAAGCAAAGCTCTGGGCAGCAGAATCTGAACACAATCATGTATGAGGTGAGCAGCACTGCGAAAATCCATTTACCATTTAGCTCAAGCTGCAAAAATTCACACCTTTGGGGTTGTGTATTAATAATTTGGTATCAAAGTTCCCCTAATTCAAACCATAATAAAATGTTTTATCTGCCACTTTTCTGTGGTGGTAAGGGTGTTGTCAGGGCAAAGTTAGGCAGCTGCTGTTCTTAAAATCTATAAAAGAACTTCAACATTTCAAACCTGGTTTTCAACTGTTAAGGTTTGTTAGGATTTTTTAAATTCTAAAAATTCCATCCTTTTAAGACACAGAGCAGAGCTCGCTATCATCTGATGAATTTGTGATATTACCTAATGTGATAATTAAGATTATGATTTCAAAGCTGAGGCACAGATTACATGTATTTTTTTATTAACAGAATTAAGTCAATAATTCCCAGTCAAAACAGATAATCTAAATTGATTTTTGATCCAAAGAACAGCTAAACCCCACATTCAGATAACATCACTTGGATGCCAGCTGGGGAATAAACATTTCATCCCTTGCTGGGAAGGAATTCTAAAATCTTATAATACAAATACCAACATTTAAAATAAATTAGCAACTTCCCAGAGCCTTGCAGTGAGACCCATTGTGTGTGTGCTGGAGAATTGCATGAGCAGCACCATGACTGACAGGCAGCTGAAAGTACTTTGCCTTTGCTTGCATGAGTAATTCTGTTGAGCCCTGACACGACTCATCTGGATAAGATCTGGCCTAGGCTTTGGTTTTGTTTTAGTTCTGGCTTTGTTTGAAAAAGGTACAGAGGCTGTAATTCCTAAGCCTTGCATTCAACAAAGTAGGGGCTTACCAAAAATGGGAATTAAATCTTCATGGAGACTGACAGTCTCTTCCTGCACCTCTGGGAAACAGCTGAGGAAGATCCTGTAAGTGAATTTTATCAGGATGCACCTGAAATCTTGAATTGCTTTGTTATTCTATATGTTAAATACCTATAGGGTACTTGGGGGTGTAGCTGGTGTCAATTCTGGATGTGTTTTCTATGTTTGACTGAAAGAAAAGCATAATTTGATTCTATAGGATTGTCTTTGGATTTCTTCACAAGCTCCCTACAGACTCCAAGAAAGGAGCTGTGTTTTTCTGTACTTTTGGCTTTTTCATTGATTTGAAATTGTCAAAAAAAGATGAACCTGGAAGAGAAATTAGCCTTGTGAAATAATTACATGACAATACAATAATTTCATTTCAATCACTGGTGAATAACAGCTTCATTTTATCTGGAAATGTCAGGACTTAAAGAAAGGAAAAAAAACCTTATAATTATTTCCAACTCTTTATTTTGGGGTTTGATTCAAGCAACAATAAATATTTAGGAAGATTTTAAGTCATTTCCAGTGAAAAGTCATCTGTGAACTGGAATTTTGGTGAGGTTATTTACTCAGTTAAGATTACTTTGTGTAATGTAATTCCATTATCCACCTGCTCAATGTTGTTATTGTAAATAAAGCAAATAAATGGAACATGTACTGTCAAAATTAAGGTTAGTAGGTGTTACATGGAAAAAATTGATCAAAGTTTAATTGTCTCAATTAATTTTTAATAGCAAAATATCCTTGTAGATTTCATAACAAGCCACATAATCTGCTTCTATAAACTTTAAATTGCCAAAAATGCAGGTGAAGGATAAAAACAAGGATAGATTAGAGATCTTAAACAGGGATTTCTGGGCTGGCAGTGGGAATATTCCTGGCACAAAGCACATGAAAACTTGGGTTGAAGGATTAATTCAACTTTCCTTTGTGCTTTTGAAAGACAAAAAACAAACAGGGTAGCAAATACCTCACAAACAGCAAGAGTGTTTTTTTAGCAAGCAGAGCTGAAACTCAGTCCTTTCCTGTATTCTTCAATTTGCAATTTTGTGCTTTGAACAACTCAGATAAGTTGATTTCCAAACCTGAATTGATTTTCCAGTTTTTCTCAAGACTTTTCAGAGTACTTGTTCCATACACAAATAGTAAGACAAGTATTAAGTAATTAAATATTAATTAACTAATAAGTAATTAAATATGTTATTAAACAAGTGTTAAATATGTATTAAATAATACATCTTTTCTTTCTGTCCCTTGCAGACACTGAAGTACATTTCAAAAACACCCTGCAGGTACCAGAGTCCTGAGACTGTCAGGGAGTTCCTGGTAGCAATGAAAGACCATAAATTAACCAAGTAAGTGAAATTGTGCATTTGAACAGGAGTAAAAACTCAATTACTGCTGAAAAACTGATCCCTGTGGACAGTGTGATGATCTGATTAATGGATTTTAAGTATTTTCTGCCATTATTTAAGTGCTGAGCCAGACATCTTTTCCTTCACTCGTGGCTGAGTATTTCCATCTTCTCTTTATGTACTTTTTGTCCAGGATCTCTGAGATCTACATTTCAGTCATTTAAATATTGTATCAACCAACCTCCCTCCTCCCACAGCAGTTTCCTGTGAAGCTGAACATGCAGTTGTTATTTTGGTAAGTTCTGCTTGAAAAAGAAAAGATTTCCTTTGCAGTTCCAAGACTCCAAGGGCTTTTTTCCCCTCTGTGAGTGCCTGTTCTTGAGCCACATAATCCTCTTGGAGCTCTGCAGAGTGGGAGTGAAGCCTGATGTAAATAGAAATGGAATCAGCTGGCCACTTGTTTGGATAGCTCTGATCACTTCTGACTTCTAAAGCAGAAAAAAATCAATATTTAGCTGCTTCTAAATGTGTTTTTATTCCCTGCTGGGAGGACTCCCAAGGAGTTCATCCTCTGGGAAAGAGGCTTTTCATTCATTTGGCTGTGCCACAGACTGCACAGTGAGAGCCCTGGAGTGCTGCAGGGCAGGTTTTTAGGCTGTCCAGAGCAGGGAAAGCAGATTGGCAGCTTTTTGTTAGAGTTTCACTGCCCCCTCTCTACAGACAGGCACATCCAGCACTGCAGCAGCTCTGCACAAAGGGATGCTGCTCCTTGGGAATTCTGGCTTGGAATTGTGCTTGCAGTGCTTTCTTTGCCAGGTCAGTAAATCAGTGTTTAACCCTCCTGTAGCTCATTTTATCCAGCAGGATAGTCATTGATGTATCCTAATTATTTTCTGGAGGTACTGAAGCATGGAGAAAATACTCTGCAATAAAAATACCAGAGGTATAAAGAGGTGGTAATATGGCACTGAGAGGTCTTAAAATTGGCAGCAAATATTTCTTGAGTAGTAGTGAGCATCATTCCCTTCTGGTAATGCAAACCAGCTCTTTTTAAAGAGAAATAAGCTTTGTTGTCAATGCAGGGCAGCAGTTTAGGAAGAACCAGCAGAGTAAAACAAACAAAATGATGTTGGTGTAAAACTCCCATTAAAAATCAAAGTGTTTATTTTTATTTAAAGCTCATTTCTAAACTTCTTTCAGGTAGAATTTGACCAGGACCTGAGAGTTAACTCTTAGTGTTACTACTTTAGGTACCTTCACTGCAACTGCTCCCCTGGATAGGATCTCCAAGGGTGAAACACTAAACAATTTAAGTTATAAAAGCGAAACTTCCAGCTACAGATTTTCTGTCTCCCACAGTGCTGAGCACTTTTGTAGAAGATCTACCGAAATATTCACCTTCCCACAGCTGCTTGGTCAGTGAGCTGGAAAGGTTGGAATAGTTACAAACTTTAAATGAGCTTTTGGAGTGTTCAATTTTTTATGGATGCTCCAAGGTGCCTTTGGGGTTGGGTATCATCCTGTGTGTCCTTTTCCTGAAGCAAGGGAATTATTCCTAAATAATTTCTTGTGAATGGTGGCAGCAAGATGAGAGTGAAGAGCCAGACAGTGGTGTAGGTGACAGATTTACTCTGTGAGAATTCAGATTTTTTTTGTGAGCATCCTGTACAACTTTTATCTGGTAAAGAACTTCCCAACTGTGCCACGTCCTTTGCAGAATAAAACCCAGAATTGTTTTGTGTGATCCTGGCGCTTCTTTTTTTCTGATCTTTTCCATTGTCAGGGTCCACCTGGCAGCCCCTTCACCCCAAACCACAGAGAGCACAAGGGGTGCAATTACTCTTTAGGGCACTTTATGTTAAACCACTTAAAGCAGTGATACCTCCAAGGCAATTTGGAAATACCCTTTGGTTCCTAACCAAGGTCATTTCAACACTGCTTCTCTTGTTAAATAAAAAGGCTTTGATGGTTTCCATTCTGTGGGATGGAGGTGGTGTTTAGGGATTTCATTCCAGCTGTGTGCCAGAGAGCTTCCTTCCCTTGGAGAGGAAAGACCTGCAGTGTTTGCTCTTCCAGGACCTTGTTTGGGTGATCCCTGTAACGACCTTTCTTCCCACCAAGAGTAATGAGCTCCAGACTCTCTTTGCTGCTTCCTTTCTGGGTAAGGCACCCCAAAATGTGCTCTCTGAGCTGCTCAGACACTGTCTGTGCTGCTAACAGCTCTCTGCAGTGGCTGATGAGATTAATTTGTGTTAATTGGGGTCTGTCCTCAGACAATTCAGTCTGGTTAAAGGGTCAGCAACACCCCATCGCCCCAGACTGCTTCCCTGCCCTTTACATTCCTGTCATGACTCCACCTCTAATCAGAGGGAAGCAATTAAGCAGCGTGTTCATGCTATTAATTAGGCTCAGCCTATTTGCTAATACCAGGACTTTGGAGACCAGGATTTGCAGCCCTGCCTTGGGCTGTGCCATTCCCTGCTCAGGCTGTGATTGCTGCCCTCAGCACTAGGCTGTGCTCGTGGATGGAGAATCCCCAGCTGGGAAGAGAGAGCAGCCAGGGAAACAGCAGCAACTGAGGCACAGCAGAGCTTTGAATCAAGGGAATTCTTATTTTTCCTTCCACAGCCCTGCAGGATGTCAGGCTGCATGTGATGTCTCTGCTTCAGTGAGAGAACTGGTAACATAATTCTGGCAAATTCTGCAGTTCCTGGAAAATCACCTCAAATCCTTCTGTTATCACTGATTTTTGCTATTCAAAAGACCAGGTTAAGAGACTAGCATCCATTTTGTGATGGGTTTATCTCATTAGTGTTACAGACACAAAAAATCGCTTCCTAAAAGGCAGATTTTAAAAATAAACACCAATGTCTGCAAACAAATATTCCAGAGTCATTTCAGAAAGCTGCCTTGCTGAATGGGGCAAATTCAAAGCCAGATATTTCACTGATATAGTTAAGGTGTGGTAAAACAGTTTTTCCCATAGTTTTTAATCATTACTTTGGTAAAATTCAAACTGTAGAACTGAGTTTTTTTAAAAACTGAAACTGAACCCACATAATGAATTTTATTATTACCTTGTTGAGGCCTCAGGCTTTGGCTGAAGCTCCAGTTCAGTGAGCCATGTTGTACTTGGAAATAGAGTTTGCCACTAGCAGCTCGTTTTCCAGTCTTAGTGCTGGAATGGCTTCATATTTTTAAGGTATAGTGAATTGCATTGTATGAAAAGAACATTTATTAAGCTGGAACTCTGTAATTATGGTTCAATGAAAACTGGCTTCACTTGTGCTTCTTCCTGCCACTGATAGCCTATCTTGCATCTAATTCTGGGATAACCAAATTTCCAATCATTGCATGTTATTATAATTAAAAAAAACAACTGGTCAGGAACATTGCCCTTTTTGTCTTTAAATCAACACAGTCGAAGAAGTGTTGAGCTGAAAATCTTCAGTACTTTTAGAAAATATTTTCCTTCATGACTGCCAAAACCTACAACAGATACAAACCTCTGCAATATTAAAGGTTGAGGGATTTGCTTTGTAATTTTTGTCTCCTCCAGAGCTTACAAAATGAATATTCAACAGCAAGTCAGCATCATGCTCATTGAACAAGAGCATCATTTAAGAGACTTTAAGAAGATTATTCTCAGCTTTTCCAGTGGGAATCCTCGTGGACAATCACAGCACCCACTGGGGTTGTGATTTCCCATTTTGGGGAAATCCTCCCTTAGCCAGACCCCGTGCTCAGGACTCGGGCATTAAAAGTTGCCATGGCTGATTCAGGACCATGGGATTTATATTTCCAGCAGGAATCAAACCCCTGGTTGTGTGTCCAGCTGTTACTTCATGGTTTTCTTAGTAACCCTCAAACATCCATTTCCGAGGATAAATTTGCTTCTGCTGAGGCACAGATGTTTGAAGTGTTTTTTTAGCTCTCTGTGCTGGATCTTGGCACTCTTCTCTCCTTACCCAGACCTCTTGCTGGAAAAACACTCTGGGAGTTCAGCAGATTAAAAAAGGGGGAGATTTTGGTTAAAATACAAACTGCAAAAGTTTGCTTAGTGCTGACAGAAAATGATGCATTTTGTCATCATTTCCACAAGAGCATGCAAGTATTTGTATTATTTTTTAGAATGGATGCACCAATGTAGGAATGTGCTGTCTGTTCTGTCTGTGATCTTGAACATGACTCAGAGGTGGTTTTTGTCCTGTATAAATGGTTTTTTAGGATTTTTAGGTTGGAACTCAGCATCTTCACCTCCTCCAGCACTCTCCCCTCACACAGACCTCAGACCCCTTTTCCTCCCCATAACTGCACAGGCTTTTGTCCCCTGCAGCCTGAGCTTTGTGTGTGTCTCCAGACCCACTCCAGAGCATTTTTCCATCCTGGAAAAGCTGCTCCTGGCTGCAGGATGTGGGCTGAGGCTCAGCCCCACAGCAGGAATTGCCATGTTGGGATTTCTCAGCAGGCAGGTCCTGCACAGCTCTGCAGCACGGCCCATTAACTCTGATTAGTGGGATCTTGCTTTTATGTTAGAAAATTGCTTTTTCTGTCACTCATCTTTTGTATGGATTCTCCTCTTGAGTGAGCAGCTTTCGTGTTCCAAACTGGTACTAAAATCCAGGCAGAGCAGGGAAAATGCAGATGCTGAATTTTGGGGGCAGTGAAGCTGAAAATGTTCTTCACCTTCTGTTTGAATGAATGAGACAGCTCTTTTTATTTAACAAGCACCAGCGTGCCATGAGTGCTGTAGGAAGTGTAAAGATGAATTCATGGGAGATGGAAAAATTAACTTTACTTTTTAGATTTAATGGAGCATGAACTAAATTCAGGCTTAGGTCTGTGCCCAAGCCAAACGCTGCAGTCAGGGCTGATCCTAACACATGGTGGTTGCCTTACTTAAATCTAATCTCTGATGAAATTGTGGTTATTCACGTTTTAATTTGTGTGTGTGCTGTCAGGAAATTCCAGGTACACAGAGAGCCTGACCCTAGCAGTCAGTTTTTGGGATCAGACCCAGAGCCTGGTCCCAGCAGTCAATTTTTGGGATCAGTGTTGAAAAGGTGCAGTGGGTACTGAGCTCCAACTCAAACCTCTGCCTTCTGCTGCTGCTGAGGGCTGAGCAATCCAGTTCCCTACTAAATACAATTTAGAGACATTTTGGGAGTGTTTGTTTCATTGCTTCCCTCATAATTACATATTACCATGTCTAAAGATCGTTATGTCGGGGTGTTAATTAGTGCTTATGCTGCACAAGCAGTTCTAGATGAAATATGGCATTTATACAGCTTTTGGGGTTTTTTTGGTTTTTTGTTTGGTTTTTTTTTTGTTTTTGTTTTTTTGGTTTTTTNAGATTAGGCCTGTAAAAATAATTAACATTACCTCAAAAAGAAAAAAAAAATAGGCAATTATAAGAGAAAATTGACTGAAGGAAAATCAACCAAAAAGCTGAAATTAAATGGAAACAAAACCTGTTAGTATGGATCAAATGTGCCCACACACAGACTTGCTCAAAATAATTGTATGAACTAAACCCAACTGTTATTTTGATTCAGGTTGATTTTTTTTTTTCTTGATTTGATGAGTTTTTTTGGGTTTGTGGTTTTTGTTTTTTTTTTTGTTTGTGGGTCTTTTTTTTTTTTTTTTTTTTTTTTTGTTTTTGTGGGCAGTTTTTTGCACCCTTCTGCTTGTTCCTTTGTTTTGTTTTGCATAATTTTCCAGTAGGGATCTTTGCTGATCAAAACCAGCCATGAAACCCTTCAGATTACACATCTGAATGTGTTAATCACTGCAAGTTCTCTCTCATTCTTCTGTACACATTTATAAAAACTGCAAATACCCTGAAATGATGCTTTTAGGATCTGTTTGGCCTGATTGTAAAATTTCTGTCTATCCCTAATGAGTTGGAGTGCTGTTCATGGCTTATAAGCAAAAACCCTTGAAGAGGTGACCTTTTTTTGTTGTGCCCTCTATTTCTTCAGAAAACATCAGCAGTAGCACTAATTGATTGTTTTAGTCATGATGTGTAATTGGTGTTAATTTATTTCTGCTTGCTGCTGTGCCAGTAATTTTCCTGTGATAAACACAGCTCTACCTGCTTGAAAATAACTCTGAGTAAATCAGTTTTGAATTCTTCAGCTCAGGCATAAAATGGCTTTTGCCATTTGATCCTCTTTCTTAGGCTCTGGAGTTTATATTTCAAGGATATTACTTTGAAAAGAAGATGAGTGAATAAAAGTCAGATAATGTGCTTTGTGTGGTGGAGCTGGAGGATTGGAATGTTTCTTGCTGCAAAAGAGAAGAAAGAGTTGTTGGAGAAGGCTCTGAAGTATCATGTGAGAGAAACTTGGGTAAAATATGAATTCATCACAGTCTGTCCCTGTAAGTAGGGCTGGAGGAGGAGGAGGGAGGTTTTTACAAGGAGGATCCTCACAGGAGCTCTTAGAGAGCTCTGGAAACTGAGGCACCAATATTTGCTTAGCCAGGAAGCAAAGCAGAGAGCACTGAAAGCACCAGCTCTGCCTCCATCAGGCACCAAAGCAGAGAATTCCCAGCTCTGGAGGAAAAATCTTTCAAAAATCCAGCTGAATTGGCCACATTTTTATAGAATAAAGGTATTATTTGATATACTTTTCCCAGCTCTGCATGGCAGTGCTGCCTTTAGCTTTGCTTTTACACAAGTGAGTGTTATCTCTGATTGATTCCCTAAATCACCTTCTTTCCATGTAAAGGATTTGAGTGCTCATCTCCTGTCATTATTGGGGTTTTATTCCTGGTTTTTATGACTGTTGTAGATGGCAGCAGTTATAAACACCTCATCTTTCTGCCTGTAAAGTGCTCTGAGTTCAGAGCAAAATCCAGCCATGCTCTCCACAGCCTCCTGTTAGAAACACCAAATATGTTTGAGTGATAACATGGAAAACAAAGGAGGTGGATTCCCTGCTTCCCATCACCAGTGAAAACATATTTTGGCTCTCCAAAAGCAAAGCAAACTGATGATAAATAAAAAGAAGGTTTTCCTGGAGCTTTCTGATAGGGATTGTTAATATCTCACAAATGCTGCATTGAAAATTTAAAATTTACAAGCTTCTGAAGCTGAAAGTGATGGTGAAAATGGACATTTTAGCTGGATCATCCAGTAGCCAGTGACAGAGGCCTTTTGAAATGAAATTATATCTCTGAGGTATCTCCAGACACACAGAAATTGTTGGTTGTAAACGTGGAGTGATCTGTGTTCTCTTAAAAGCTGTGAGGTTTCCTTTCTAAAATCCCCCAGGGGAAAACCGTCAAGAACCAGATTAAATATGTTTTAACCCTCCAAGAAATAGTTTAAATATGCGTTAAACCCTCCAGGATCCATTTAAATGTGCTTTAAAGATGCCCTATAATAAAAAATGCAGGATGTTCAGCTCACCATGACAATGGTTCAGCTTTACTTAATGCTGAATATATGAAGCATCATCTTTTTTAAGGAACAAATTGCTCCACATTTTTCTCTCTGAATGGAAAAACAGATTTTAGTTTTGTGCTTTTTAGAAATGTAAACCTTGGAGAAGGTAATAAATGCCAAGATTTAGTTTTCCAAACTGTAGTTTCCTGCTGGAACTTTGTATTTGCAATGAGCTAAAAGAATAGACTGCTTTAAGTTTAAATAAAGAAATTTGCTGCCATTTGATGGGGGAGTAACTCCTTAGGTATGAAAATTGTTCTTGTGGTTGTGTGTTCTTGGCAGAAGTTTTGGATGTCTGGTGAGTTGTTTAACATTTCTGCAGAGCTTTAACAAAGCATCAGTTAATTAATACCTGCACAGTAATGATCTGAGGGTCCCTGCTTGCCACCTTGGGCCAACAGCAGCATGGCTGAACACTGGAAAGTCCCCAAATCATTAAAATACCCAAATTGTGACCCTTCAGCCACACTGCAAACCCAGCCAGGATGATTCCTGGCAGTGACACTTCTTCTCTGGGTTATCAGGAATGTGTTTGCATCACTGCAGCCATTGAGGGGATCCTCAAACCACCCAGTAATGTGGATTTTTTTCCACTCTGCTTTTACCAGGGCAGAAAAGCTGCAGCTGCTGAACCACAGGCCTGTGAGTGCAGTGGAGATCCAGCTGGTGAGTAACAATGCCTGGGCCTGTTCAAAGTTTAACTGGAAGCAGCTTTAACCTTGGAGATCAATTGAATAATTGCTTTCTCATGGGCCACTGATTGAATGTATCCCTTTATTTTATGCACATTTTACATCCACGGCTTCAAATCCACTCAGCTTCCTGCCAGAGCCCTCTCAGACAGATTCTCCACCTCTGTTTGTTTTAGTGGCACATTTAAAATACCCAATGCAGTCATTAAAGGTGATCTATGAAAGTATTCCAAATAGGAATATTTTTGCTGTGCAGCTCTCTGATGGAATACTTTATTTTTTTACATCTTCCCTGGTTGTTTTAATGGCATGTTTAATTTTTTTTTTTTTCACACTAAAATCCAAAATTTTAAAAATAAATGAGCAGTAATGCAGGATGAGAAATGGGTATAAACTTTCTGATGGAAAGTAGCCATTGTCAGTCTTAAGAATAATTCAGCTGTTAAAGAGGGATTGTCACTAAATAGAAATAGATGCTTCTGTTCTCTCAAACATCTCCTCAGGGGTACAAACCCCTGTGGTAATAAAGAGATTGTTACAATCAGGATATTATTTCAATAAAGATCTCTTGCATTAAGAACATCTGTTTGCAATCTTCCCCTGGAACCAAGCTGAGGGGGAGCAGGATCATATTTTGCTGCAGAAAAAGGGGAAGGATTAAAGAGGGACCAGTAGGACCATTTTTCTTCTGTCACCAGGATGAAAATGTTGAAGGCTTCTCAGAAGAATGATTCCAGCTGAGGAATTAATGCTGAGTTCTGGGCCTGAGATCAGTGTCCAGCAGGAGCTTTAAGTCCATCAGAAACCAAAATTTGGGGCCTGTCTCACACCTTATTTATTTTATTGCTATCTGCAGGCTTTTCTTCCTTTCTTTAAATGCAGTCATCTTTTGGGGCTCTCAGGTAACTGCATGGCTTTGTTTGTCTCTTCTCTCCTCTCCCACCTGCTTCATTGATACCCTGCCTACCCATAAAATATTATATTAAAAATAAAATATAAATATATATTTAGATAGAATTATAAATATAAAATAAATGTATAAATAAATATACAAACACATAACTATAATTAATAAATTATACATAATACAAAATATAAATATTAAGTTATGTTTATTTTATATAAACAACAAACTAAATATTGTATAAATAAATACATATGTATATTATGTAATATAGTATGTATAATATATAATATTATAAATAATGTATAATATATAAATATATATAATAAATATATAACTATATTTTATAAATAAATATCTAAAGTAAATTTAAATAAATAATATATAATATCTAAATATCATATAAAATAATATATAATACAAAAAATATATTATTAACATATAATATGTAAAATATTGAAAATAGTCTTCTCCTGTGTCATGTTTGAAGAAAATAAGAATTTTGGGCCTTTCTATTAGAAGTCAGCTTTCTGTAGAGTTGTTTTAGATATTCCATATTTTAGATACTCCAAGTTAATTTAGATATGTCAAAGTTAAATAAAACGTGTTGAAACGCAGAGAACACAGCCAGAGGATTTGAGTTGTCAGTTCTTCATTGATCCAAAGCCTTCTCCAGTGGTCAGAAGCAGCTTGTGAGGAGTTTCATGTCTGTGCACTGGGGCTTAGCCTGGGTTTGCATCCCCCTGGAAGTTTTGGGGAGCAGTTGCTGCTGTTCCACTGTGGTTCCCCTGCCCTGCCAGGGCCCATTTCCTTCCCCAGACCAGCCCTGCAGGGTGTGAGTGTCCTGCCTTGTTAACCCTGTGCTCCCCAGAGCTGCAGCACGTTGCAAGTGTCTCCATCAAAGCCTTTGCAGCTCAGGGGCTGCTGGGGAGCTGCAGCTTGGTGTTCCTGACACCCAGAGCTGGGAGAAGCAAGGAGATGATGTTGCTGTTCAGTTGCTGGCTTGGATCCTGGTTTAGATGAGGACAGAGGCTGCAGCAGTCACTGAACACACAAAATCTGCCTTTTCTGGGTATAAAATCACACAGAGGTCACCCATGCACAGGTTCCTGCAGGAAAACCCATTCCCTGCAGTGCTGGATGAGATACAACCTGCTGAGAGGTGAATTCTGGTCCTAAAATTTGATTTTAGATTGAGAGCCTTGATCCTGAATCAAGAGCCTTGATTCTCCCCTCACTGAACTTGCTCCTGAATCAGAAATAAATGCTGGGGAGAGCTTCTGAGCAGCTCCTGGAATGGGGGCACATCAATCTTATTCTTCAGAAAGCTTTAAACAAAATGCCAGCCTGCTCCAAGCTGGCTCTCACTTGCTCAGTTTTAATGTCTCAGACTTTTAGTCAGTGCAGCCTGACCATGGAATGGGGTCTGATTTACCTGGCAGGCTCATGGGACAGGATATTTATCATTATCATTATTGCTGCTTTTTGCCTTTCCAGCTTTTTAGTATTTTACTCTCCCTCTACAAAATTCCTGATTTTTAGCTGTATGCAAACAATAAATCCATTTTGATAAAATTATTTTGCAGCTAAAAGCAAATTTCTGTTGTGATCTTTTGTAAACCTTAGTGCATAAATTGCTGCCATTGTCCATCTTTGCCTTTTCCAGCTTCTGTGCCAGGATTTATTTTCCAGCAACAAAAGGAGCATGAAATTCAAATTCTTACCCCACAGAGTAAAACACTGTACACATTGCAGCTATCTTGACCTCCTGTTTTAATCTTTAACATATGTTGGTCCTGGCTCAGTGATTCCCAAAAGGAGGAAATAAAAAAGTCAGGGATGTTCAGCTCACCATGAGAGTGGTGGAGATGAAGAATCATCTTTTTTAAAGAACAAATTGCTCCATGTTTTTCTCTCTGAGTAGAAAAGCAGATTTTAATTTTTGTGCTTTTTAAAAATGTATTTCTACCTTGGAGAATTTCGTGTTTATGTGCATAACCAGGCTGGCGCATTGTCTTTTATACTGAAAAATAATAATGACAAATATTTTGAAAAATGAAAGATCTTAAGGGGGTTTAAACAGTTTGTTTTCTTCAGCAGTGTATTTTGCCTTTAGTTAATTATCTCTGAGGGACATTAATTCAATCATTCAGTCTTTTACTTTATTTCTTTTTTTAATGTGTTTTTTTCCTATTGATGTGGTGCCGAGCGGTTTCAAATCACTGCTCAAAGGAGGAAATAACTGTGATTTTCTCATCAAACATTTCCCTCCCCCACTGGAGTTAAATTATGTGCTTGATTGCTTTGGAAATGATCAGAGTTCCTATTTCCTTTATTACTGTACTTTACTGATTATTTTAAAATCTAATTCTTAGCTTATTATTCCAATAAACAATAGCCTTTAACCCACAGGTTGTTCTTTGATGCTGAGGTTTGTTGAACAAATGCTGAGAGAATTTCTCGATTCTTTCAGGATTTTTAGGAGTCCATTAGTGTGGCTTTATTTATTCTTCATTCTTGATTTATTGTTATGTCTCAGGAGACTAAACCAAGTAAACATTAGCACTGAAAGCAGCACAGGGAGGAGGATGAAGCATCCTAAATTCTGCTTTTATTTGGGTAAGCACAAAAGATAGGTATGGTTTGAATTAAGGATGTTTGTCCTTGTTTCACTGAGTTAAAAAAAAAGGAATTTACACAGTCCTGAGTGATTTTGTGCTTCCATTTGTCTGTGGCTGTGTGACCATAGATTTACACCTTAATTTATGAATAAACACTTTAATCCCTGGGATTATCTTCATGGGCTGGCTGTGAATTTCTGAGAATTAAATTTGAGCTGCAGGAGGAACGTGCTACTTTTAGTTTGAGCTGGGAGAATTTGATGCCAATTAATTTATAAAGTTTTCCTCTTTGATTAGCTGTAGAGCATTGTGGAAACGAAATGGGAGCACTGCTGACTTTATGAATATATTGCAATGGAAATTGAGTAACAAACTGCTCTAATTTGGGTAAGACAGAAATTATTAGTGAGTTCTGAGCTGAGTGAATAATCACATTTCACAGGTAACACACACTGGGTGTGGTTATGAATGACATGGATGTGCTGCAGCAAATTTTCCTAAACCCCTGGAGTTATTTTGGGGCATCACAGCCTTGAATGCTGAAAAGCAGCAGTGAGAAATATTTATGATATCAGGGGGCTTTTAATACAGAAACAACATTTCTGTCACACTCCCCACTTCTACTCCTCACCCAAATGTCCAGATATTGAGGCCAGCAGCACTGGCCAGAAATACCCAACTTTGGTCAGAAATACCCCAAAGTTTTCACATGGCATCCTCTGAGAGGGGAAACTGTTCCCATTAGGGCTGGGTGGCACTGCCAACATCAACATCTGAGCTCATCCCCTCCCTTCAAACATTTGCATTTTTGTTTTCTTTGCTATAAACTTTACATTCCTGGCTGCTTATGGGCTCAGTCTGGCTCTTGAGCATTTCAGCCAGTGCTGGGCTTTTGGCTGAAGATTTTCTCCCAGCATTGGTAAAATTGCTGCTGGAAAAGGAGATCCCTGAATCTAGCTGGAGTTTTTTGCCTCTTAGGCTGCTTCTTACATCTCATTTCTCTTCTCAGCACCATATTTTTTAGTGCTCTCAGCATCAAAGGTATTTTGTCTTGCAGCTGTAAATCAGAAGGCTGTGAGAACATCTGCTGAATGTAGAATGAGTGACCTCCTGTTCCCCCTGAGATCTGTTTTCTTTTAGGGCAGTTTCATTTGCCTCTTTATCTGCGTGCTGTCTGTGCTTAATTTTTGAATTTTTCCTTTTGGCTTGTTGCTTTGCTGCTTCCTCACTGCTTATGTTTCTATAAATCATCTCAGGCTGGTTTTTTTCACTTCCTGAGTGAAAAAAATTGATTTTCACAGTTTGTGCTTTTGATCCTTTGAAATCTCAAATAATATCACAACAAAATAAGGCTGAAGCATCAACTTGACTAAGAAGCTGTCTGTCCATCCTGCTAAATGTTGATTTGTGTGTGTTGGTGATTCCTGGGAGCTGCTGGAGAGGCACCAAGAGGTGAATTTTGCTGCAGCAGTTGAAGGAATTCCCACTTCCCTCTGGATCTGTCAGCAGAAGGGAATTTGGGAGCTCCACCCCCTCTTCAGTGCAGGGTCTGGCATCTCTAAAATTGCTTTGCACAACATTTTAGTGAGACATCACTTAGAGCACCAGAGCATCTGAAACACCAGAGATGATTTTCTTTCATCAGCTTCGTGCTCAGCTGGGATTTCTGGGGCTGCCAGAGCAACCCCCAGAGCTGCTGTGTCTGTCCCTGCAGTCTGTCAGCCTCGTGCTGTGCCAGTAAAAATGACATCAGTGGGGTTGTTCATACTGGGAGATGGGATACACAGACTCCATTACTCATCTGGAGTCACTGGGGAGCAGGGAGGAAAACAGGGAATAGAATTCACATGTTCTGCCTTAAAATCAGGAGTTGGTAAGAGCTGAGCAGAAATCCCTGGTTTTTGTTTAAGTTTTGATTTCATCAGAGCAAGCACCCAAAGGAGAAAGTGGAGGGGAAAAAAGGGAGAGGAGATACAGATATAGATAAAATGGGAAGAGGGTTGGACTTTATGTCATGCAATAAATCAAATCTAAACAAGGCCAAGTGCTGTTTTTCTAAGGGATGGTAACAAATCTGGGAGACGTTGGTTCAGTCATCCTACCTGGAGTGATCCAGGGCTGGTTCTTTGTGCAGCTCCTGCTCCTCCAGCATCCACCCCACCTTGAAAATTGAGTGTAACACTAATGAAAAACCCCATAATCCAGTCTGAAAGGCAGGCTGATAATCCTCTGTGAGATTTAACAACAAAGGTCATGTTGAGAGGAGTGATTTGTCAGCAGCACTGGCACCAAGGAGTGGGTGGAGCAGACTGGATCATGGAATCACCATCCCAGAATAATTTGGGCTGGGAGAGACCTGAAAGAGCATTTAGTTCCAGGACATCTTCCACTTGCACATTTCCAGGTGTGGTGCCTATGCCCCAAGGTGTGCTGAGATGATTCCCTGTGGGAATTGCTGGCAGGAATCAGCTGCCAGGAGCTCTCCCAGCCAGGGCAGGAGGATTTGAGTGTGTGTGAGCACAGGCTGTGCAGAGGAGCAGCTGCTGGGAAACAGAGCCAGGGCTGCTGTTCAAGCCAGTGTCCTACAGTAGTTGTTGAGCTTGGAAAGCCACTCCACAGGGATTTTCATCCTTTGATGGGGATAGTCCCCAGTAAGTCATTAACAAATGGAATCTCAGTGTCTGCCTTTTGCTGAGGAGTGAATTCTCTGTGTGTGTGCAGATCTGTGGATGATTCTGATGAAAGATGATCAGATTGTGCAAAGAGGGCTCTGAAGAAAAACAAAAATGAGTTGAAGCCCCACTCTGCTTTTCAGAAGGCAGCTGAAGAGCTGGCAGTTTACAGCTAGAGCTGATTAAACCTGCATTGACTTGCAACCATCATTACTATAAATCACTCCTCTTCAAAGGCCATTTTCAAGGCCGTGCTGTAAAAAGAAGAAAACTCAAACCCCACAATCCTAATGGGTTTCATTTGTGTTTGAAGACTTCTTACTTGCTTTTCCAGTCCTCTGACAAGCTGTTTTTTCCTTTTAACAGCTGCCTATAAATTAGGGCAGTTGTTTTACTGGTAGCAGTGATATAAAAGCTGCCACAGCTCCACAGTGGGAGTAGGTCCCTAATTAATCTCATGGACTCATGGAGTTGAGTCATGACAGTGTTTTTGATGTTGCTCAGAGCTTTTAAATGTCTTTATATCCAGGAGTCTCCCAGTCCAAGCAAATTCCAGTGGAGTACAGCTGCTGTAGGATGAGGTGGTTTCTTTTATAGGCTGATTATTTCCTGCAGATACTGGATGAGATGCCAAGGTCCAGGGAATCCCTGTCAGGATATTCCATGAAAACACAGAAACTTGGGAAAAAGGTCAGGAAGGTGGGGCTGCATCTGGGCTAAAGGAAAAGCCTGGCTCAGGACAAGGATGTGGAGATTGACAGAGGCTTTAGGATAAGCCTGGCTGTTCCCAGGGTGGTGTTTTCCTTGCTGTAAGGAAAGCAGGATCTCATTACACAGTGCCAATTGTTGTGGTGAACAATGGAGTTCTTTTTTTTTTTTTCCCTCAAAATATTCCAAGAGTTCTGCTTTGTAAAATGCTTTTGTGATGAGCTCAGGCTGTGTCTTGACAAAGTCTTCCCTGCTGAGCTGAGTCCTTCTCCCTGAGGGAGGAAGTGTGGATTTGATGATGCCAATGGGGTTTTTTTTTGACCTGCAGATGGTGGAAGAAAGCGAGGAGAGGCTGACAGAAGAGCAGATCGAGTCCCTCCTGCAGACAGTCACCAACATCCTGCCAGGGGATCCAGAGGAACAGCAGAGGGACTCAGCAATGGCAACAGAAGACAAAGGTGACCAGGCATAGCAGGCAGCACTTCCAGAAGAGAACCAGCTGCTGTTAGTCTGGGTTTCCTACCAGTTCAATCCTGTACTGGACATAACTGTAAAATACATTCACATTTTTATGATTTGGAGGTGATGAGGGAACCAATTGTTCATAAGGAAGGAGGGAAAAGGACACTATTGTTTGGGTGTTTTGTCATAAACGGGGCTGGCAGTGCCAGGGTTTGCAGTGGAGCAGCCTGAGGAGTGCTGGGGCTCAGCATCTTCTGGGATTTTTCCATTCCCCATGGAATCAGCACAGCAGTGCTGCAATGAGAATTCTTTCAGAAGCTTTGCAGTTGCCCAAGTGGCTTCCAGAGCAGTGAAAAGCCAATTTTGGGGCTGTTTGCAGAGCAAGACATGGCCAGGGATGTATAGGAGCTCCTTGGGGTCTGGCCAGGCACTCCCAAATCTTGGCATCATGGAAATAAATGAAAGAGATCCAGATTCAGCAAATTGCACTGAAACCAGGGAGCTGGAGGGGGTGAAGCTGTGAAATCAAAGCTGTGAGTGCCCAAACAGCAGAATACTGAGGTGTCTCTGTGCCCTCTGAACATTTATTGCAATATTTACACAGACAAGGCACTCCTGTGATGGAGGAATAAATGAGGCAACACTGAGCTCTTGATCTGGCTTGGAAAAATGAGAGTCAGGCCTGGATAAAGCAGAATTTCCTGAGCTTTTTTGTCTGATGAAGGATTTCAGGATCAAGTATTTAATGTTGAAAGCCTTTGTGATTATAATAAATCATTTGTGTATGAAATCCACACAAAGCCAGCCACTGGTTTAAGTTGTGGCTGCAGACCATTCGTTTATAATTATTAAGATGTACTGGAAATAGAAATAAAATTTTAAGTACATCCTGGGAGTTTTGTGACTTACAGACGAGATCAAATCACAATATCTGACTTTTTTTTTTTCCCCTCAACTCTGTCATGGGTTTATTCTGTGTTTTTATGCAGGGAATTTGTGCTTTCTGAGCTTCAGTTGTGCAGTGTATGAAAGGGACTGATAAATTCCAGTGTCTGGGGGATTTGTCATATTTGTTTCCATGGTATTTAAGCTTCTTTGATGTTTGGAGAGGAAAGAAAGTTATTGGGAAAATGTATTTGTTGCCTCTTAATTTATCATGCATTAAATGCCTTCCAAGGCTGGAGACTAAAGGTACATTTAGACTGGATTTGTTTAGTGTTGAAGGGGGAAAATCCTTGATGGGTTTGTGATGCATCAATGTATATTTTTCTCTCCAAAAGGGAAAGAAAACAAGAGATAAGTGGATCATAGCATGGAAAGACACTCAATTAATATTAAAATCAACATTTTTATTCACAGCAGCCCCTGATGTTGTTTGACAACCTGCAGCCTTGGGCTGCAAGTGTTTACATTTTGATCTGCCCTTTCCTAAAATGAAATTATTGAGATTTGTTCTGAACATATCAAAAGCAGCTGGAAGCAGACTGTAAAATATCTTCAGCCAACAAGAACAACTCACCAGATCCCTGAAGTTGGGTGTTCCATCCTGGGAATTGATTTGTTGCTGGGCTGGATTTTTGCCAGCAGCTGTGTGGTTCTGGGGGTGCTGTACAGGATGCAGGAACTCCTCACTTGCTGCTGGAGTGAACCTTTCTATCAGTATCAGTTCCAGATGTTAACAGCTGTTAGCCCTCTGTAAATCCATCAATGGCTTGTAAACAATAATTCCCCTAAAAATCCAATGCTGAGCAACATTTGAAAGGCTCTGGGCTTGTGGCATGTGCATGACATCAAGAAATGAGTTAAACCTGCTGCCTGTAAATTCGGGTGAGGATTTACTCTGAGGACAGGTTTGAGTTGTGTTGTTTGATCTTTTCTGTGTCAGAACCCCCAGATCAGAAATGATTTATGCAGATACCACCTTGCTGATGTGACACCATTTCCCAGTGTCCTGAATATCACACAGAAGATCTGCCAGTATCCCATATTTCTTTTTATTCCCTTAATTATCCTCTTAATTAACCATTCCTCACCACAGGAGATGGACCCTCCTAATTCTTGGAACAGAGAAAGTGGCACTGAGTGGCTCTGGGTGTGCAAGAAAGGTAAATGTGTGTTCTGAGAAGAAACGGAGCATTTCCTGAATATTTAAGAAGTGGATATTACTTTTATTTTTCTCATTTCTTATCTCTCCCTCACTTTTTTTCCCTGTTGTGTGGGTTTTTGGCTCTGCTCAGGGCTGCTCCTGTGCTGAGAAAGGGGAATGAGCTGCCAGAATTCCTGATCTGATACTTCAAAACACCTGGGCTTTCTCTTCTCATCAATTCAGATTTCTTGAGGATTCTTTGGCAGTCCCTGCTGGAGTAGTTTCATTAGAAGAAGCTTCGTTTTATGGAAGGAGAAGGAGCTGCTGCTCCTGCCTGGCTGTGCCCTGGTGCTGGGCAAGGGGAATGGATCTGCTGGAACCAGATGTGCACAGGGAATTTTGAGGAAGATCCAGGAAATCCTTCCTGCTGAGCTGAGCAGCTTTGGTGGAGCTCAGGGCTGTGTGTGAGGCTGTGCCTGTGGGTGTTTTTTGTTTGTTTTTGGGTTTTTTTTAAGTTTTTTTTAAGGTTTTTTTTTTTTTNTTTTTTTTTTTAAGGTCAGGATTAAATGTGTGAGATTGTATTTCTTGTTTGGACTTAGATGTTTATTAGTTCTTATCTATATTATAGTCTTGTAGACTGTGAATTCTACAGTACTTCATTCTAACAAACTAAAAATAGAGCTGTATCTTTCTGTTTACAAGGTTTTTTTAAGGATAAACTGCCTAATTAAGAAATGATACTTAAATTATTTTTACTTTTAACTTAGTAACTAATTACTCATGGCCTGCAATGCAGACGTTTTTATCTAATTACACAATACAACCTAAACTCAAGAAGGTGAAGAAGGACCAGGCTGCCCTAAAACTTCTGTCTTATCAAGCTTTTTACATACTACTTTAAAATGTATCTTTTATTATATATTTTTATATTTTTAATATGTTATTATATTCTAAAACTTTTAAGTTTTCTACCATGTGATATAGTCACTTCTATTCAGACTACACACTTAGAATCCCAGTTCTGTCATTCAATTTTGGAAGCTTTCTCCACAGCCTCAGGTGAAAGGCAGTGTTCTCTCGGGGGTCAGTGCCTGTCAGCACACAAAGTCTGAAATCCTCAGCAGCCAGGGTTCCAACACGTCCCCACCACTGAGTGCAGAATGGGACAAGCAGGGAGCAAAATCCATTTGGTTTGTGTGAGTGTTCATTAGCTAAAGGTGAGCAGCCTGAGGCAGGAAAAGCAAACCCACAGAATCTGGAGCTTTGGGGGTTTTTTTTTGGAAGCAGATTGACTTCAAACAGCACTGAAATGGCTCACACCTGATGAATTCACACTTTGCTCTCCACCCCGTTGGAAATTTGTGTTTTTCCCGGTTGATGGTTGGAGGGGGAGGATTTGCTTGACCCTGCTGGAGCTGGGGATTGGACTCTGTGATCTCCTGAGCTCCCCCCTTTCTGTCAGTGCTTTCTCTTCCTCCAGCCATGGATTCAGGGTTTCAGCTCCTTCAGGCTGCTCTCATTGAGGGCTGGCATGCAGAAATCTGGGATTTGCTCCCTGTCTCCCTTCCCCTGGTCCCTTGGCAGGTGGGAGCCTGGCTGGCACAGTGCAAATCCTTCATTTCTGGGATGTGGACAGAGGGAAGGGAGCAGGCTGGCAGTGCTTGCAGCAGGATTTGGTGTCAGCACTTCCTTGGGGCTGGAATTGGGGTTTGTGGGCAGCTGAGGCTGTTCCAGAAGAGGCTGCTCTGGTGTGAGGGATGAGTGGACTTTCAGGGTGATCTTAACCACAGTTTTCTCTTGAATTTTTCTTCATTTGGGCAAAATTACTCCACAGTGCCTCTCCACTGCCTTAAATTTGGCCCAGTCCAGAACCATTCCCTTCCCAGGTGCACCCTGGCTGTGCTGGGCCCCTCCAGTTCAAACTGGGATTATTCTGGATCCTGCTTTTGAAACACACACATGCACACACACAGAGATATTTTTCTGTGCTGCATTTTCTCTGATGAAATTTTTTATTGCTTCTGCCTGCCCTGGGGTGGCAGCTGTGCCAGGGCAATGTGCAGACAGCACGTTCTGCATCCCAGAAATTGCCTGCCCTCCACTTCCCTGTGCTCCACAGGCTTGGGAAGCAGCAGCCTCAGCTGGGACCTAAACTTGTGACACACTTTGGGTTTTGGCAGAGAGGAGTCAGGAAAGGCTTCGTGCACTTCAGCCTGGCCAGTATCAGGCTTTTCCTATTTTTTTCTTTTATTGCTACCCATAACCAGAGTGGAATTTTACCCCTGGGGATGTGCTGAAGGCTCTAAATGTGGACTAGAGAGATTTTTGCCAGGTGTAAAAGGATCTCCCAAGTCTTTTGCCTGTGAAGGAGGGAGAGGAAGCTGAGGGCTTTTATTGGCAGCTGTGGGTCAAGTATCTGCTCTTGTACAGGGTTGAGAGGGTTCTAAAAAATTGCTGGATTTTTTTTATTAATTTGATGTTTTCAGTTTTCTGACTGCCCTAGGACAGGACAGGGATGAGCAACACAGGCTGAGCTCTGAAATGTCTGGGGTGGACAAAAGGCAGGTGAGATTTGGAGAAATGTGCACAGCAGGCACCTTGGACTCTGCAGGCATCATCCCAGTCCCCGTCTTGGTGCACTGGTGTCCCTTAACCTGTGGGGAAAGTGGGACAGGACTCACCTTCCTGTGGCTTGGCTGAGCCCAAGCAGCTCTGGAGCTCTTCCAGCCTCAACAGCTGCAGTGTTAAATCTCAATCCCCTCTATCATCTGCTGGTTTTTTAATACTCTCCAAAATCATCTGCATTTTCCCTTTTGTGTGGTTCCTGGATTTCCTGACACAAAGCCCTGACTCCGGGGTGCAGCAGCCAGGAGGGAGGGAGGACTGGAAACACCCACACAAATCCTGATGGGATGCAGCTCTTCCTGCAGGTTTGCTGTTCATCACCCAGAAAACCCCCCAAAAGCTGCTGCTACCACACTGGGTGAGGGGACTGGGGGATGGAAGTGGGCTAATCCAGGCCAATATAAACATTGTCCCTTTCCCTCTTCAGCATCCTGCCTCCAGGCATGGGCTCAGCAGGAAGTTGTCTCTTTCTCATTCCCATGGGCTGCTCCAAGAGGGACAGGACCCCCTGTCCTGTGTCACCACCTCAGGTGAGACTCAGCAGTTGAAGCCACAGGGAAAAGCAGCTCAAACCACTGGAAATGGCCCTAAATCCTCCTCGTGCTCCCAAAAGCTACTGGAGGGTTCCCATGGGTTCCCATCCCTGTTCAGCTGGGGTTGTCACCCTTGGAAGCCTCCAGGTTTAGTGGGATGAGATGGGATGTGCAGGTTTTCACCCTAAACTGTGACTGACTCTCCAAATGCTGCTCTTCCTCTTTGGGTTTTGAGTTTTTCCCGACCTTTTCTCCCTGCTTTTCCGCTGCTCTGGAGCCAAAATCTTCTCTCCAATGCCAGCTGAGCTGGTTGGAGCAGGCCAGGAGCAAAGGCTCCAAGGAAAACCACAATATTTTGGGAGCAGTGGTGAGGCAGAGAGAGTCAGAGGGAGTCTTTGGATTCAGCATTTTCTGCTGGGGCCTCAGCAGAGCCCAGGAGTTAATCATTCAAATATGCTTATGTGCAACTAATCTCTGCAGGACAATGAGCTGAGGAATTATTGAATGCAATTGAAATGGGGCAGAGTGGTTGCTATAAAAAGGGTGTCCCGAGCCAATGGGAGCCAGCAGGCTCCTATAAAAGCGGGTGGGGAAGGAAAAGCAGCTGGTGGGAAGAGATCCCCAAAATCCCAAAGCATGTCCTGAGCTGCCTTTGCTTGGGCAAAGATCCTCCTGAGCTGCTGCAAATCAGGCTGAGCCCTCTCCCAGCAGCTGTGGGGTCAGTGGGAAGGGCTGGATCTGCCTGGAATCACCTGGTGGAGCCTCAAAAGATGAAATCCTCCAGTGCTGTGAGTTGAGGTCAGCTTTTGGGGGAGATTTGGATGCTCTTCCAGGAGTTGGGTGGGATCCATGGAAGGAGCAGCTGGTGGGAGGAGATCCCCAAAATCCCAAAGCATGTCTTGAGCTGCCTTTGCTTGGGCAGAGATCCTTCTGAGCTGCTGGAAATGAGG